GGCCACCTCCTCATCCCAGAGGAGATGCTGGGGGACTCGGGGCCTGTGGGGGCAGCCGTGATGGACCAGGGACAGGCAGCCCTCGCAGGCCGTGCCCACGCCGCATTGCCAGGGCCAGTCCCACGTGTTCCCAGGGCGGGCCGTGGGCGCAGCTGCCACAGGCCATGGTCGCAGAGGAATCGGAACCAGCAAGCGGCCCCCTTGAGCTTTTTGAAACGAGGCTGAGTCACTTTCCCTGTCAGCCTCTGAACCCGTGAAGGAACGAACCCTTTGTGCAGTTGGCAGAAACTGAGTGGTTGGCCTGCGACAGTTCGGACCTCCTGCCTCTCCCGCACTAACCTTTATTTTGAGTTGTTCATTGACATTTTCCAAAACAGTTTTTATGAAACCTAGAATTTGCTCACCAGTGGCCACAATTTGAATGCTTTAAATATACAAGAAATGTGTGACTTGCCATAAAAGACAGGAAATGACAGCCCTGACTTGGCAGAAAAATTCTAATTCTTGGAGGGCTGCGATTGGCATTAGTACCTGCCAGTGGTGTTCACATTTTGATTGGTGTGCATATGCAGTTAGATTTTGTGTAATTATTGACAGGGTGGGACTTGCATCTGCCATTTTGCTATTTGTTTTCTCATGCCATACTTGCTCCGACCAGTAATCAAACGGTGACCTCCAGGTGCATGGGTCGACTCTCAACTGAACAGCACTGGCCGGGCAGTGCTTTATTTTTTTTTATGTAGATTTGAGTTACTCTCTAGTGTCATTTCAACCTGAAGGACTCCATTTATATTATTTCTTGTAGGGAAGTTCTGCTCATGAAAAATTCTCTGTTTTTGTTTATCTTGGAATGTCTCAATTTTTTCTTCACTTTTAAGGGATGATTTTATTAGCTATAGGGTTCTTGGTTGACAGTCTCTCCCCCCCCCCCCCCCCCCCCATGCGAGGGGGGTTAGAGATGTTCTGGAAGATTAAACATGTTGTCCCACTGTCTTCTGTCCTGCATGGTTTCTGATGAGAAACTGGCTGTCAGTCTGTTGAGAACACTGTGAAGCCGCGCTTCCCTTGCTGCTTTCATGATCCTCTCTTTGCTTTGGCTATTGGCGGTTTGGTATAATATGTCTTGGTGCGGATACCTTTGAGCTGATCCTGAGCTTTTTGGCTGTGTAGATTAATGCCTTGTGTCAAATTTGGGAAGTTTTTGGTCAGTATCTCAAAAATTTTATATTGATTTTTAGAGAGAGAGGAAGGAGGGAGAGAGAGAAACATTGACTGTTTGCCTCCCGCATACCCTCTGACTGGGCATGGAACCTGCAACCTGGGCATGTGCCCTGACCAGGAATTGAACCAGTAACCCTTTGATGCATGGGATGGTACTCAACCACCTGAGCCACACTGGCCAGGGCTCTTTAAATATCCTTCCGACACCTTTCTCTCCCCGTGTTAGTACACCTGACTACCCTCAGGTCTGAGGCTTTGTTCATTTTCCTTTTATCTTTTTCTGTTTACTCTTCTGATTTGATTTCTTCTGATATGTCTTCAAGTTTACTGATTCCTTTGACATCTCAAATTTGCTCTTGAGACCACTTAGTGAATTCTGTGGCTGCTGCTTTTCCTTGTATGGGTCACACTTTCTTGTTTCTTTTCATATCTGATATTTTGTTGAATAATAAACATTATATATAATAAAACCCTAATATGCAAATTGACTGAACAGCAGAACGACCGGTTGCTATGACGTGCACTGACCACTAGGGGCAGATGCTCAGTGCAGGAACGGCCCCCAGCCTGCAGGCCCCAGGCCAGCCAAGGCGGGGGCCAGCTGGGGGCCTGCCGGTCGCCCTGTAGAGAGAAGTGACCGACCAGTGGCGGTGGCAGGGGGCCCGTGCACGAATGTCATGCACCAGGCCTCTAGTGTTAAATAATATGGCAACTCTGGAAATCAGATCCTTGTCCCCACCCCCCATGTTTCCGATTGCTGTTTGGTATTGTTGCTCTTTGTTTATTTGGTGACTTGTCTGCACTAATTCTGTGGTCTTTGTTGGGTGTGGCCACTGAAGTCCTGGTTTGGTTGGTTTAATGGTCAGCTAATGATTGGCCTGAGATTTCCTTAAATTCCTGGAGCCAAGAAGCCTCCATCGTATGGAGGGGCCCTGTGCATGGCCAGGGAGTGTCCTAAATGCTTTGTCAGGCAGTTGGCAGCCTTGCTTAGCCCCCTCTTCCTTTCTGTGCAGAACCCCAAGGACAGCCAGAGGTTACAGTTAGGGCCTTCCCAGGTCTTCCCTGCGTGTGAACACAGTTCTGCATGTTCACCTTGCCTTCTGGGTTTCTAGGAATAGCCCCTGCGAACATCTCATTCTCCAGTTTCTCCTTGTAGGCCTTTGGTTG